CTTTTTAACTAAAAATATGATTTCTCTTATTTAATTAGATTTATTCTCATCGGTCTATTTTTTTAATTTATACATGTCTCCTTGAAAAACGATGTTTTTCTATTAATTATTGATTATTGCGACAAATATTATCGAAGTCTCAATAGTCGAATCGAGAACAAGTCCGTACGGAATTCGGGAAATCCAGATTCAAATCCTGGTTTAGATAATATTTTTAATTTTTTACAATAAATTATTTGCAATTTTTAAGATTCTTATTTTAACATTAAATTATATATAGATATATTAATTCTTATAAGATGTATATTAGCATCAATATTATTCAATTGTTTGTCAATTTAATGTGATATTACTACTCTAGTTTTATTCATGATTGCATTTCAAAACTTGAAAAAGATTTTAGCTTGCGGTTTGCAGAATTGATCATGTATTGTACATTCACACTGAAATATTGTATTTGAATACTAAGATCCACTTTGGCCAAAAATAGAATATCTCTTATTTGATATAACATAGTAATTATAACATAGTAATTATAAAAATGCAGCTCCTAATCAAAATATTTTACCATGTAATTATAGTCATAAACCAAAAAAAGTCATAAGTAAAAAAAAAACTGTTCTCTCAGTGTAGAAAAAAATTTTTTTTTAAATTTAATTTTTAAAGAAAAATATCGAAATTTTAAGTCAGTTGCCGTTGCAATATGTAGTGTGTATCTCGATTAGACCGATTTCAAGATCTCGACTATACAATTACTGTGTGGATCAAATGATACTTCTCCGACCTAATGTTTACACACGATATCCTGCCAAGACATTTCGTGCCTCTCACACATATAACGTCTTGCGGCTTTTAAACGCGGCTATCATTATTTCCTGCTGCAGCGTCCGTTATAAGACATCGTCGCCGCTGACATTCGGGGTCGCCTCGTTCACAAGTGGGACATGGCACACGTAGGCTACTCTTTATTGTGATGATCATTATTACGATTATAGATTCAGGTCAGGTGTATCCGCATAATGAGCCGCGTTACAATCCTGCAGAAATTCGGACGCGAGTTCTTTCGCGTGCGTAATTACATCGCGTTTACACTGTCATTGTCATTCCTGCACGAGATATGTACGTGTGTTTCTTTCTTTTTATTTTTTTTTCGTTGGAATTTCTCAATCTTTCAAGGTGTATCTCTTCCTTATTTTAAAAGTAATGCAACTGAAAAAATAATTCTTGAGTTATTATCATGCATAAATTAAATAAACATTATTCTCATAAAAAATTAAGTTACTTAATTTTATAAAAAAAATCGTCAAAAATTACAACTAAAAAGAATGATTTTTAAAAACTCGTCGAAATTGTCAATTGTTATTGTAATTTAAAAAAGTGATTTTTGAAGGGTTGTAAAATGAAAATGATAAAAATGATATTTAATATTAAGAATATATTCTTTTCGTCAATATCATTTGATCAGTCAATAATTTTCTCTCGAATTGAAAAATAGTTTTTCTTTTCTCAGAAACTTAATTTCTTTTAGTTGTATTACACGGAAAGGAGCGATATGTCTTTATTCCCGTCTGTATTAATTATTATATTTTCGTGCATATATTTTTATAAACGCGACAAATTTTGGTTTTTCTTTTATCGTTACTGAAAATGCAGTATAAAATACAAAAATTTGCATTCAATACTGTTCTTTTGTATTTAATATCTATTAAAATCTCCGTATAAAATGTCATAAAATTTTTTTTTATGTCGACTTATTTATTAATGCAATCTAATAGTTTACTGTATTACACTGTTTCGCATAAATGTCTCTTCATTTTTTCGAACGAATTTAAAGAATATATACATATACATGCGTGCGTATGATATGCGTGTGCATATATACGTATATTATATGCATACATATATTACATGCATACGGAGGACGGAACACGTGGTTGCATTTTATATCTGGAGTGCTCGCGAAACTATTTTTAGAGTGACGTTGCAGAGCACTGGACGTGTGTGTGGCGCGCCTAACGGTTAACCCTGACCCGGTAATAAATGTTATGCCCTCGAATAAGTAGCTATAGGTGCCTTACCTCCTGTTTGATAATCCGCCCCCTAAGCAACTCAGCTGATGGTTAGAAACTTGTAACAGAAATCGATCGTAGCGGAAAGTCGCTTAGCATTAACAGCGTGCTTGAGAAAATGCCTTTTTCATGAACGTCATAATGAAAAAAAATCAATGGACGCGATTACATTTTCCTTTTTATTTTCATAAAGCTTTAAGTATCTATTATCATGCGTTTTTTTTAATCGAAAAGAAAAATTTGCTTATCGAATAAATTGTGAATGTACTTATTATTTATAAGAGGAGAGAAATGTAATTTTTCTAGAAAGAGAAATTTCATTTAATATGACAAAATTTTGGATACATTTTAATTTGTAATGTATTTGATAAATAGTTAATAAAATAAAATTGTATAGCTGTTCTAAATATAGTGCATATAATTATTTATCGATATAAGATACAAGAGATAAATATAATACTTTACTGGTTTTAAACTTTTTAAGATACCAATAACTGAATGCGTAGGAATTCTGAAAAGTCGATATAATCCGCAATCAATAGTTCGAGTACAGTTTGAGATTGTCTCTCTAGTTTAGTCTATGCAGCCTTAGCTTCAAAATGCAATCAATAACGGATATTTGATGGAATAATCCATCATCTAAATAAATTGGTCGTCTAGTGCCATGATTATTGCAATTAATAATTATTAAAATATTATATCTCACAGAACTCTGTAACTACCTTGTCTGCATAATTAAGACACCCTTTTAGAATTTAATCTTACACAAAGTTATTAATTGTGCATTTGCAATTATTTTTTTAAAGCTCTTATTTTATCTTTATTTTAAAGTATTCTTATTTGATTTATCATCTTTCACTTTGTGATTTCATATTTGTTTTCATCTTATTATCCGATCAGCATAATACTGGTTAAGTCGATAACACATAGGAAAACAATTCGGAAACGGTCCAATCAGTTCGCATCCTAATGGCACGTTATTCCGACAGACATTTGTAGAGAATAGTTTTCCTCGTTTTAACAATTGAGTGAATATAGACACACTTCAGAAGATTGTAGCCGTCTGATCTGATCGTCGATGCTCTTTCCCAAATCTCTTTATTCACTCATTTTCATCAGCTATACTGACGATGAGTGATCGCAGCTGTAATTTTGTCACCTGATTTGCATTCGAGTATGAATATGATTACATTAGAGTTTCTTTGTCACGTTTTATCGTAGTGTTTTAATAGGACGCATTTGCATATCGAAATTAAATGTAACGAGCAAATAACGCGCACATTTTTGCTTACAATCACGATTTTTTTTAGCACAGTTCATTTGCACGCGCGCCAGATATATTATTTTCCAATTAATAAATAATGAATATTAAGTATATGTTAAAATTGATTAGATCTTGATTAGATTTTTAACCCATAATTTAAACATATGAAACAGTTGACTCTGGGATACTTTTAATTTTTAAATAGCATTGTATGCGTGTGTAATGATTGTATGTGTGCGTGCGTACGTGTGTGTGCGTGGTGCGTGCGCGCGCGCGCGCGCGCGTGTGTGTGTGTGTGTGTGTGTGTGTGTGTGTGTGGAATAATATTATTTTCATAATTTTATTTTTCACAGTTTTTTATTTATAAGCTAATTATCATATCATACTTTTATTAATAATGTGAAAACTTAAGTGTTTCAATTTTTTATATAGTTAAAAATTTTAAAACTTTTAAAATTAATAATAAAAAATTTTATATAAAGATTATGCGTTTCATGGGTTTTTCACATTCTTGGAATGTCAATATTTCATCAACCTTGCAGTCCACTTCATCAGGGCGAGGAGCAGCCTGATATTGATGAAATGAACTGCAAGGTTCATGAAACATTGGCATTCCAAGAATGTATCCGAACACGGAGAAAACCCGCAAAACGCATAATCTGTATATAGAAAGCACCCGTGGAAGCCTCAAGAATACTAACAAAAAATTTTAATAAAGTTGATGATACAAGAGCGTTGTCAGTAATTCTCTGAAAAAAAAGAGTAATTAAAAGTTAAAGGTACATTTTAAAAATAATATACTTAGTCTATTTCATGCTCAGTGTGGCACCAATCATAATATAATCATTATTGCTTGTTGTTGAAACCTCCTGACTGAGATTTTCAGTCAGAATTTTGAGTAAAAAAATCCTTCAAATCTTTTGAATGTATCAAGATAATTGTTTCAAAATAAATATTCGTGCTTCTCGGCCGTTTTCATTTCCATGATTGATCAGATATTTTCAATCAGATTTATGTCCGGAGATTGGGAAAGCTAATCCATCTATTGATGTCATTTTTATGTTCGTGAAAATTTCATAAAAATCATATTTCCTTGAAAGCTTGACGACAAGCTATAATTAACATTAATGATAATTGGATGTCATACTAAGTAAATTTTAGTAAATGTAATGTACTTTTAAAATATACTTTAATTTTTTAAATATTACTCATCAATCAGAGAACTACTGATAATATTCTTGTGGCACTGGTTGTAGATCTCAAGGACACATATGTTTCTTTAACATCATAAAAAATATCTGTTACGGGCTAGAGAACTTTATATGAGAAGACACATAAAAATAATTCGTATTTCTCGCTTCAAGCAATTCTTGGTAAAATTCAACGTGATCAATATGCACGTGTCATTTTTCATTGGAGGATGAATTTCGGTGAACGCAGGGTTCCAAGACAGGCATAATATTTTAGCGAAAGTTCAACGGCCACGTCTGGCGCGAAATCAAGAACACATTGTCATCTGTGTGCCAGACGTCGTGAACGCTGCGATATCGGACGGTGAATTAAAAGTACGACGTTGACTGACTTATCTTTATAAAGTATCCTTGCCGAGCGGTGTGGCAAATGGATTTTCCAGCACTTGACAAGTGACAAGTTCGACGAGCCGAGCGTGACAATGCGGTCGACCAAGTTAAATCCATCGTTAACTTTCGACGATGCACGTATCATTAATATTGTATTTCGATCGAGACATTAAATGATAATTAAAATGATAATATAATTAATGAAGAGAACTCAATCCGGTAGTCGAAACTTGTAATATTTATGTTTATGATATCTGCTGTTTAATTTTCTATTAATTACATGTTTTATATTTGAATGTAGACTGTTTTCTTCATTTTTATTTTTTTTTATTTGTATTTTATTCTATCTAATTGTATTAAATTCTATTTTCTATGTGTTTGACTCTTATTTTTCCCTTTATTTATTGTTATTTAATTTTTAAATTATAAAATTATATAATTTTAAATTATATTTAATTTTTTAATTATTATCAACATTAAATATTAAATATTAATGATTGTAAATTAAACTCATTAATATTCATTGTTGAAAAAAATAGGAATTTAGTCTTATAGTATAATTAAATATCGTACACGGAAAGAGCGAATTTATTGAAGTATCTAAAAATTTTAATATCAATCTGAAAGTAATTTTATTTGACCGTCAAAATAATTGTATAGGAATCTCAAATATGACAAAGTTATTTTAATGAAATTATTTTCAGATCTGTATCAACTAAATTTTTAGATTCTAGCAAAACTAATTTTTCCGTATATGTATATACATGGAAAGAACGATTTTGTTAAAATATCTAAAAAGAACACTAGATAATAGAGAGATTTAAAAATAATTTATTAGATTTATCAAAATAATTAAATGAAGAGCTCAAGTTGGTTGCTAGTATGTCACAATTTTTTGCAACATTGTTTATTATGCTTTAGCAATCTACTTAATAATTTTAATAATTTAAAACAAAATTATTTTCAAATCTGTATCTAGCTAAATTTTTAGTTTTACTTTAGCAAAATCTTTCTCATTCTTTCCATGTAGAAATTTTATGTAAAGGGATACGAAAGGATAAGATGTATAAATAAGAATGTAAAATTATAAAACGAAAATGCAAGGTTGAGTAGTGCTAAGTTAAAAACATAAAAGTTAAAAAGTTAATTAATTTTAACTTAACTTACATAAGTTACATTTTAGACTCTTAACTTTTTAACTTTATTTAGTTACATTTTATCCGTAACTATTAATTTTTTATTTTATTTTTTTTAAGTTAAGTCTTAGACATAATATGCGGCAATAGTGATAGCTCAAAATGAGGTGAAAATTACAAAAAAGAGCAAATTTACTTGACCATTGAAATTATAAATATTTTAGTGAATTTGTTCATTTTTGTGATTTTCATCTCATTTCAAATTACACACTCGAGTCCCAGATTTCAATCTGTCAGAAACCATATTTCGATCTATCTAATTTCTGATAGGTTGGAATCTATTATTCCTTATTATTAAAATATAACATATCAATACCATTTTCGGCTCACGTTGAACTCACATTGACTGTTCAGTGTAAGAGAATTCATTTTCGATAACTTATGAGGAAAGATGTCCGACATTTCGAAATGGCCTTATTACTTACATTTAATAAGTATATGAATAAAATATTCAATCAGTATATATAATCAATCACTATATAGTCTATACAAACAATATATGTAAACAAAACAAATATAAATACAAAACAAATATAGAGAGTATTTTTTAAATGAAGTATCTATTTGTCATTTCCGTTTGTAAGACTGAAACCCTGGAATCTTAAAATAAAAAAATAAAAAAAAATAAATTTAACTTTTAACTTTTAATTCAATTAATTTTATTATATATATTA